ACTGGAGAAGAGAAGGCTGAGGGGAGATCTTATTAATGTCTGTAAGTATCTGTAGGGTGGGTGCAAGGAAGATGGAGACAGGCTCTTGTCAGTAGTTCCCAGTGACAGGACAACGGGCAATAGGCACAAGCTGGAACATAGGAAGTTCCATTTAAATATGAGGAAAAACTTCTTTACTGTGAAGGTGACAGACACTGGCTGCCCAGGGAGGTTGTGGAGTCTCCTCTGGAGACATTAAAGACCAGCCTGGATGCAGTCCTGAGTAATGTTCTCTAGGAGATCCTGCTCTAGTAGGGAAGTTAGATGAGATGATCTCTAGAGGTCCCTTACAGCTCTGATGATTCTGTGATATATGATTTTATCATTTTAAAAGCAAATCAAGTCCTGTGCCACAAGAATGACTGAAAGGTAACTTCAGAATAAAACCCAGAGTTTCCTGAGAAAAAAAGCATTTCATAAAGACTCACACCTGACAGGAATAAAACATATTTATGAAAGACTTAAAACCTATCTAGAAATCTGACACAAACCAGATCAGATTAAATGTATCTGAAAATTCAGAGTAATACAATAGGTGAGCAATTGCATTTATATACAGTTCTAGAAACAACAAAAAAAAATATGCTTGAGATAAATCTTGGGAGGGAGGGGTGTGATATGGACATGGAAACACTCAAACGTGTATTTCCATAGAATAGTTCAAACTTCTTTGTGAAAAAACAGGCAAGAAAAACATCTTTATCTAAAATTGTTCTGAGCTCCCAACTGCAGCTCTTTGAGGGTGTCCCTCTGTAGGCACACATGAAGATCACCTTGGGCTGCCATCACAAACTAAGCTCCACAGTGTGTGAAACTGAATCAGTCCCTTAAAAATGCCATCATGTAGTATTTACTTTTTTTTTTTTTGGCCAGCAACTGAAATACAAAAGAAAAATAAGAATATACATAGATTATATCCATGGGTATTTGACTAGAAACAATTCCAACACAAGTCACAGAAGACTCAAAAATAAAGCATCATCAAGTAATCTCATGAAAAATTAGCTTCCTACTCCTCCATTATAGCTGCAGTTGATTCAAATGATGCCACCTCAGAGGAAAGACAACACGAGACCTCTCCTCCTCTTGGATGCCAGGTGCAACACAGGCCAGCTCCCCAGTAAAAGTTCTGTCACATAAACCATGTTGGGAACAAACTGACTTGAAACCCACCCAAGCCAGAAGCTCACAATACACATTTAGCAGACCATTAACAGCTCCCCAGGGATGGCAGGTGTGAAACAGCCAGCAGGCCCCTCATGTAAGGACAGTTCCTGCTGGACAACTGAGAGCACTGATGGTGCACCACTTGGAAACGTGCCCTGCCGCTGCCTGGGATCATCTGCAGAGGGTATGGATTTCAAAGGACCATCAACACGGCACCCCTCAGCAGTGTTCAGTTCAAAGGAAAAGTTTTAATGAAGTAATTAATATCAGACTGGCAGTGTCAGAATTACCACAGACACATCAATCCTACTGATACTATGTAAAAAAATCTCTAGATGTAAGAAACTAATAAGTTTTCTACACCAACTTCTGAGATCTTTTACAACATAATACCACAATTAAAGCATGTGAACTTTAAATTTTCTGATTTATTTTTTATTAGAAAGCCACTTCACTTACACAAATCTTCATTGTTTCAAATGAATGTCAACAGCTTAAATCCTGATCCTGAGAACACATTAATTGAAGTAGGACTATTCGCACACAGTTTATTTGTGCAAGTATTTGCAAGATTCAGCCCTGAATTGCTACACAATTTATAACTATGTTCCTCATTTGTGAATAAACTCACCTCTGAAATCAGTAATACATCATTCTGTCATGTGCCATCATATTCTCTTAAGTTCTGCAAAAACATGTTTACATATATTAGTCCGTAGGCAGATGAGTATGTCAGGAAGAAGAGATGAAGGTAAGAAACCACAGCATCTATATGGCACCCAAGGAAACATGCAAGGAACTGAACACTGCACAGTCAGATGTAGCTATTCTCAAGAGATAAATATTAACAATAAACATTTAGGCTGATTTCTACACAATTATTTTTATCAATCAAGACCACTTTGCACTTTCCAGCACCTAACACATAAGGATCTAGAAGTGTTTATTAAAGCTGAGGGGAAGCAGAAAATGTCTTCCATGTCAATGAGGTCAAGATTTAACCCTAAATACTAAATTTGAGTGGAGGTGAACAGGAGACTGCACTACACTGAAAGACCACTCTTGCTCAACTTTTTGAGGAAGTGAACAGCTGTTTCAAACCTATTTCTACCTACCACTGAGGACAAAGTATGTTATCCAGTTGGAGCAGCAAGTGTAGTTTACATAGCCAAAAAGTAGCCCAAGTTTTCCAAGAACACCACAATATCCATATTCTTTAAGCATCTGTCAAGGGACCTGCTTTAAACACTGTCCAAGAGGTAGCACAAACTGCAGCAGGACAAAGACTTTCTCAGTACTATACTAGGTCATCACAGACAAGTACAGAGGCAGAGATTGTGTATTTGATATGTAAAAGAATAATTTCAGTATCTTCTGAATATTTGTTACCAAATGCTGACTCTGAAAGACCCCTTGTTAGCCTCAAAACCAAGTCTAGAAAAGCAGGGATCTTGAGATATTTGATCTTGAGAGATATGATCTTGAGATATTTCCATATCTATTAATATTAAACTACACAGGGTATTAATAGATGATATTCAAAGACACATATACCAGAAAAATGCACACTGGACAAAAAAAATTACTATTTGTTGCACTACAACACACAGAAGTTGTTTGTAAATTCTCAGGAAGAACCAAGAAGCAAACATCTCTTGCTCAGTTTCCTTCTGCTAATCACTAAACACAACAGATACAAAGCATTTTCACTGAAAACATTTTTTTGCTATTTATGTGTCCTGTAACTCAAGACAAGCAGATTGCAATGACACTAGCAGGCCATACATCTGAAATCCCAAAATATGAAACATGTTTTTATATCATCAGAATGTTCGGAATTAACAGCCCCAAGATATTAAAACAAATAGTTATAACATACTCTAATCAAATGCGTAAGTAACAGGAAAAAAGATCAGTATCTGTAGTTAAAACTAGACATATTAAAAACCCACCCACTCTCATTTTTCAGGCATGCCCACTGAAATAACTCTCTTCTCATCAAAGGTCTACTGCTGTTTCCTAGGACAGTTTTCAGACTAATACCCCTATGCAACTTATGGCATACCTGGGATCTCCACTAAAGCACAGGCTGCCTAGACAAGGTTGGAAAGGAGAAAAGTTGTTTCTTGCTCATATTCACCTTAATGCCCACAAACAGACCTTGGGAAATGGAAATAAAATGCAGTCCTTGGGCTCTACCTTCCTGCACTGAGCTGTTTGTGCATGCTTAGGGTTCTTGGAAATAGGTGCGATTTCAGGGGACTTGAGTTTTCAAGCACTAGAGCACTTCAGTCTGGAAAGCCAGACAGTTGCTTTTGTCAATAGAGAAGTGAAATGACTAATATACCATAATACCCTCTGTGGTATCTTCAGCTTTCACTCATTGGCTCCCATAGTGTATATTCATTTAAGGAAAAACAAGCTTAATATGCTTGCATCCTTTCTTTTCTTTGTTCCCTCTCTTCCTCATGTATAAGAAGAGGGTCAAAATAAGCACCAGGTCAGGATTTACTACTTCATAATACAATTTCTAACAAAAGCTGAAACTCAGCTTCTTAAACAAACTACCTTATTCCTTGGAATGTTTTAGGTAATGTTCTAAGAAAAACTGACCACATACAAGTGGGAAAACAGTAGTTTCATCACAAATGTCTACTTCCAAGGAAGCCCTCCTCTGTGATTACTAGAAAACATACAAAACCTGAAAAGAATTTAAAACACAGTAAAAAGTGATGGTTGAGAGCAGAAGTTAAGCAACTAAATTTTAGTAGATATGACTTTCAACTGGTGTTTCAGTCCAACTGTTACTGTGGTTTCACCCCAGTGGCACAGCTGTATTGCTTGATTAGCAATCTGTCTTCTCTGCAGTCCTGGGAAATTATTGCTCTGGAGGCTACGTGTGTTACACACTCACCAAGGGTGAAAATCCCCTTGCCAAAATCAAATCTGGTTTGGGAAGTGAAGAAGCTGGCCACATCTGCATGGTCCCTCCCTCTTCCTACCTGTAGGCAGAGGGGGCTCAGCAGCACACCACTCTCCAGCTCTCAAGTCAGCCAGCCTTCAGCAGCTGAGCTGGCACCTCCACCTCTGAAGAGCAGATGGGAGCACACTGAAGCAACCTGTTGCTCCAACATGACTTCACTGCACAGCACAGAGTGGCCCACCAAATCTCAAGCCCTGCAAACTCAAGAACTATTCAGTTACAAATCCTTGACTGCAGCAGGTAAGAGTAAGGGTTTGCAAGCTAAGGACTCCAACTCTTCAGAAATGGGGCTATATGAAACTTATTGCTCAAAGCACTTCATAATCCTTTGATGAAATGTGCTATAAGTGCAAAGTACTATTATTAAGTCAAACTAAGGTTTTTTTAAAAAAATATCTGGGGATTTATCAGAATCTCCCTGTTTGCCCAACAGATCAGTTCTTTATAAAAATAAATACTGGGAGGACAAAAGGGACAGTTCACCCCCGAATTTTAGTAAACAAATTTCATTTTTCCACGCTAAAATCTGCAGTATCTTTCAAAATATATCAAAACACCTAAAAGAAACTGAGGGTGCATCAGAGTTGCTTACAACTCGCCTACTTTATTCCTGTGGCTAGGATATTACCAGAACTTCTAAATCTCATTTTTTTTCTGAACGGTTATAATATTAGAAACAGTATTTGGCAGAGACTTGGTGAAGAACATTTTCTTAACACTCAGCAGTAACCTGGACAATAAATTTAAGGGGAAAATACTTAGGTTTTTTCTCTTCTTCAATCGAGTATCAATTGTGTTTTCCCCCTCCCAGTTCTGTGGTATTTCCAGTTTCATGTGTCTAGACCAAAGACACTTTCCAAACGCTGGTGTGCATCATCTTTATATACACTACAAATTCAGATTACCAGACTATAGTGAGACATTGAATATATAAATAACTTTGGAAACTATTTACAGGTTTTAAACTATTCAGGTTCTAATCAACTAACAGTCTTAAGGCAAATTCATTTGTATGACTTGCTGCCTGGCTTTTCCGCATTTCTCTCCCCTCCCCAACCCCCAAAAACTATAAACATGAAATTGAATTACCCCCTGCCTCTATATTGACAGAATTTCTTGTATGGAGAAATGATCTAACGACTTACGATCTCTCTTTAAAACTAGGAAAAATATATAGAAATGCATTTGTGTTTGCATGTCAAGAAAATCATTAAGGTGCATACCACCACGTGGAAAAAAACTACTGTCTTATAACAACGTAACTTTTGTATGCACTTGACAAATGGATTTGGGAATTCAGGGAAAGCATCATTTTAAAGCTGCACAACCCTTTTTAGTACTATGCATTTATAAGCTCATTATATAGAAAACCTGAAGAGCCCAAAGGGAGTTTTTTGTAAGAGGTGACACGGTGCAATATAAAATGCAGCAAAGAGTGGATTTTCAAAGCGTATGTTTACCTACATTATACTTTTTCTCTTATGCCTTATTGCTGTGCAAGATACTATTCACCATCTAAAGGGATTCTTCACACGTTGCCAATCCTTACAGTGAAAAAAAATTGGCCATTTCAATAGTATCTTTTTGTTACAACTTTGTATTCTTAAGTGCAATCACAGTGCAATCCCTTCTGTCAATGCATGACTGAAGCAACCAAGCATATTCTGGTGAAGTAGGCAGGATTCACATACCAAACATGCTTAGTGCCTCCCTTTAAGTTCCAATCATCACTTTGTTCTTACTGTTTTTCACGGTCCTGATTAGGTCTTTGTTTGGAAGTAATTAGCTATTGTGGTTCGAAGGATTCTGGAACAAAGCAGAGACTTTATACTGAATGCAGACGTCATCTCCAACAGAGACAAAAGGTGGGAAATTATCGATTTGCTTTATATTTAGAAGCATCCCTTGGTTCACTGCTAGGATTGCTCCAGTCATCTGCTTCAGGTGTGGTCTTGTAGTGTCGCCATGCTGACTTATTAAAAACGGGAAGTCTTTCAAATGATTCACTTGAAAGGGCCTATAGAAATAAAAAAGCAACTGTAAGATATCATTACAGATACCATGAGCAAGATAATACTCTGGGAAGTTCTACAGTTACAACTTCTGTATCAAACAGATGTCTCAATTATATAAGTCACAACACTGTTCTGAAGACACTTGGGCTGTGACTAATAATTCTAGTGATAGCCAAAGTACTAGCCATAGTAGAAGTTAAAAGAAAATAATAACACTTTAAAAATATTTGTCATCTTTCCAGGGAGTGGTGTCTACAAAGATAACAAGAAAATAGTCTTGGTCAAAAACATTTTAGGGAGATTTGTCCTTGACACTGAGCTGACAGCTGCTTTACTTAAACATTTCACTTTTCCAGCAAATTCTGACTCTGTCAGCTCACTGATCTGTGAGGACTGATCTGAGTCCATTAGCATACCCTTTTTCCTCCAAGAAAGATCATACCTTTTTCTTCCACACATACATACATGCACAGGATTAAACACTTCAGAAACTGATGTACGTTAGCAGAGTTAGCACAACTCACTCGCAGTGTACAGCAAGGCACAGGACAACACCAAATCAATGACCTGCACACGAGCTATAGGCTATATTCATATGAACTCCATCATGAAATTCAAGCAGTTAGTTTCAGCCTTAAGCCTCTGAGTAGCCTGGGACTTCCCCAGAAATCACAATGGGATCAGTACATTCTACTGCACAAAATTCATGAACTGCATAGGAAAAAAAGTGCTAGTCACAAGTCAGTTAATAGTCTTATCAGCTATATTTTGGTTAATACTTTCAGAATCACAAAGTATTAACCAAAATTATCACTCTTCACACAGATCTCTGAATAGTCAGCACTTATGACAGACTCACAAAATGCGAAGATTCAACACAGAGGACGGGAAAAAATGAAACAAAACCAAAAAATCAAAGCAAGGTAAATGGTATTAGTGCCAGCTTAATGTTTATAACCTCTGCTTTTAGAATCCTGTGTAACTGATTTAGATAAAATATAATGAAGATTGCAATGACAGATTTGAAAACAAGTTGAAGACTGAAAACAGAGAACGTTCACTTACTCAGCGTGCTATAAACTATGAAATTGCACTATAAAAGGGTCAAACTCATACCTTCAAATAAATTACAGCATCTGAACCAACGCCCTCCATTGAATAGAGTTTAAGGTCACCTTGAAAGTACCTCGCATACAGACGAGAAATTGGCAAGCCATAGCCAAACCCAGCCTACAAAAACAACAAAACACAAACATGGTCGAAACTTTTTTAAAAGTAACAGATTACTTCAATCATGTGAATAACAGAAGATAAATATTAGATCTGCATCAAGTTACTCTTCAAGCTTTTCTTTATTACTCAGCCTGCACTGTAAATTGGCATTCCACCTTTTGAGCAATCTCCATGTTTCCAAGGCATAACTTTTTAGTTGAAGTATAGAAAAGGGAAAATTATATCAGTGTCCTTTGTTAGGACTACCTTGTCCATTTTGCATTTCCTCAAAGAGGCAGATACATGTAAAACACAGCACATGCTGCTTCCCATCATCAAAGCAAACCAATACACCCATGTGCGAGATGATTATCCTCAAACATCGCCACACTTGGGTGACTACAGAAGAAAGCCAGAGACAACCCTGCTTACTTTACATTATTAAGTGATTGCTGATGCTATATTGCACTAGAGATCAGATGAATACATGCAAAGAAATACAAGGCAAATAGCCCTTGCAGTTGTCTAACAAAAGATGAGGGAAGATTCCATAGCACCAAACAATCTACTGAGGATGAGACCCTGTACAGACCACACAGTTTTCAAGGCATAATAGACTGGATAGATACAAATTTCAGATTTTAAATTTACAACACTAATATTCATAACCATATCTGTGACAAGGTCAGAACCTGGCACCTTTTCCAATCTACTCTAGTCAGAAAAAGTTATATAAAAACAAGCCTCTCTCACTGCATCCAAGGAGTAAGAGTTGGGTCTACACATCATCTCTTTCAGATGACTGGGTATGTGCTGAGAATCACAGTGGTTGACCCTACCCGAATTATTCAGAACTATCCAAAGCAATAAAGAAAGGATTTCAGAAATACAAGCATTTGAAATAAGGCTATTTAACACAATGGAATAATAAAATTTTCCCATAAGGGTTGATTATAAGAAGAATTAGATATGTAAAGCTCTCAAAAAACATTAAACTCATTCCACTATAATATTTCTACTAAGGCAACCTAACAGACACTGAGAAACATGCCCTGAATATTAAAAATAAAGCACCAAAATGATACAAAAAAAGAGAAGGCTAAGAAGCAGGACTTGTGAGAATAACACTCAGCTAAAGTGATACGACTTTAAGAAATCCCTTGGGGGATAGGTGAACACTAAAGAACTCTGTACTACAATATCCATCACAACTTCTGCTGCTGTCATCTGCCTTCTCTACAGCATCTCTTGACCCCTTTGCCTTAGTCACACTGAGGACTGTAAGAATTCTTCTAAGCAAAACGAGGAAGAGAAATGCTAAAGATGCCCTTTTCTAGTCTCACTGCTCATCATAGTTATTAGTTTCCATTTCCATAGTTTGAACAGTTGCTTAGCTGCACTTTTTCAAACAACAGTATGTTTTAAAAATGTAATTCTCAAATACTTTGTTAGAGAGACAGGCACAATTTTCAAACACCTGGTCTTGAAGCTAGATGCATTTCTTTCTTAATCTCTAAAAACTGGAAGTTAGTTGAAAGAACAAAGAATAATTCTGAAGATTGATTTGCATCTTTTCTGGAGACCAGATAGTAAATACACTAGAGAAATTAAAAAGCACAACAACTGAAAGGCAAACTGTAGATAGTACATATGCCCAGTAACAGCTCGAGTAAAGGGCAGTACCAAGCAACCCTGAAAACATTACACTTCCTTCTCTACAGAACTGCACCTCTTTAAATCCCATGCTCAAATTTTGCTTGCTTCCTGATCCTTCCAAGAAAATCTTTTTATGCTCTGTGCTAGCCCATGTAATTTACTTCATACTGCCCACTTCCAAAATTTCCTGACAGTCTCTTCTCTACATTGTCTTCTAGGGTATTTTCCAAAACAGGTAACTTAGAAGAAATAGGAAGACAACGGATCCCAGATGAGCAGTTGTTATGGCAAGACTTGGCAATAAGTCTATTTTGTAGACAATTAACAAGAAGTGCTCATCTAGGTCTGTGTTTGACCTAGAGGACAGAACATAGTCAGAGACAGCACATCTGCCCTGAGAATGGAAAGCATTTTAGGGACAATTTCCCATTAAGTATTACTGTATGCATTACACAAATAGGAAAATGCTACACTTCTGTGTTACTAGTGTCTACAGGTTTAATCAAACCAAATTTAACCCACATTTCTCCTACTATAAACAAATGCTGCCAGAGAGAAAATAATTCAATTCTCTAGGAAAATCTAATTATCATTACACTTCATCATGTCTTTCTACCATTTTCACTATGTGTATAGCAGTACAGATGAAGACAAAATCTGCTAGAATCCGAGTGCTGTCATGGTAACAGGGTTTCTCAGCAGTTTTTAAACAACATGTGCAATGACACTGAGAAAGATTTTTCACTGATCCACAAAAAGACCTCTCTCCTCCACTCCCCAGAGTTTCCATGAATGCTTCATAAACTAGACAGGGGTCATGTAACAAGGAAAGGGAGTGCTAGAACAGAAAAATATTTCTATTTACACTGCATTGCAATTTAGTTTAGGATAACATCTAAGTAACAAATGATACAAGCACAGACCCCCCCTGCCTTCTGCAGCACTGTAATTCTTCAGTGGTTTGGTCTTTGGCACTAAGCAATAAAAAAAACTTCTTTTTGTAGGGACTTTGAAAAGGATCTATGCAGAACCTTTCTACTGAAAGATTTTTATTTCTAGACGGACACAAGAAATACAGCTTACTTGCTTTTATTACTGGATCTGGGCCATAATACAGAACATATCCAACTTCACTGCTAAGTCCTTTTCCTCTTAGTGGAGAGCTATGCCACACACTCCCAGCTCCTGACTTTTTTCTTTCTACAGACACAAATAGCAGAGCTTAGCAACTCTTTCCAACATTCAGTCATGTACAGGCACAGGTCAGACTCACAGGGCAATAGCTGCCAGGTTCACAAGAGAAGGATACTTTCAAGGTCTGACTACAGTGATATAGCAACTGAAAAGAAAAACAAGGCCTGAAAATGGGGCACAGTAGAAGTATAAAAGCCACAGAATCACAGTAAGCGGTCTTGAAGATGAAGAAATAAACACAGGAATGCACTGCTGAATATGCTCAGAAATGAAGAAAAAAAAAAAAGAATGGTGTCAATCCTAAAATGAACACATTTTACAATCAGAGAGCTACAAAGGAAGAGGTATTTTAATAGTGAATACAACTGGTAATCAAGGTATAAGGTTTATAGTTTGAACAAGTTTCAGAAAATTCATGTAGGCTGATAAAGTAAATTGCTGCTCAAAAGAGAGATGGAACAAAGGTGGATTATGAATCAAGAAAGATTCTGCCATTCTTGATATAAAGAAAAAAGTTTATATTTGAATTAAGGCCTGTTCCCTATCACTCATCCCATTCAAGAAGATTTTCTACGAAAAAGCAAAAGACTGAAACATTACAGAGATGGGTTGTAGACGTAGAAGCTGTGAAGAATTGAGTCAATGCAGATACAGAACTGGGTTTCACACCTACCACGGTAGCATCAAACACTGGTGAAAACAATGCAATACAATTACGTGCCACAGTATTATTAACTGTGGACTAAGTACCATAAAGAGTTCATGCTAAATCTGAAAGGAAACTATTAACTCTGAACCAGTCAAAACTGGTTTCACCCTTAGTTCACTGTTATTATTTTATATGAAAAGTTGCCACATTCTCTCTGCAACACATTTTAGTGCCTGAAGGCACTTCAAAGAGAGAAATATCAGTAGAAAAAAAAAATTTAAAAATCACTTAAGATCATGCTAGTGAGTCTCCCTAAATAGTGGAAATTTTTCAAAGAATCAACTTTTTCTCAACATGCCTCAAGATAAGGATTGCATCAGAAGCAATAGAGAACAAAGATGAGAAGAGACAAAAATACAGTTTCAGTAGTAATCCACTTATTGAAAGCCAGTCAAATGGAACAGCAACAATATCATTTTTATCACAGTGAGACACTACATAATTTAGTAAAATAACAGAGAAACAAAATATTTTAAAATTAATAAATAAATAATAATAGAAATAAAGTAATTTTTAATAACAGTTTAAATCATACTTGCTAAAAGAATCTATGCATTCAATGCTGAAATAATTCCCTGATTAGAAGAAACTATAAGGAAATTTTCTTTGATTGAAATCTGACCCTGATACATCTCAGAAAGGAGAATCACATGAGGTATTTCCAACTGAACAGGAATATATCAAAAGTTTTCACATCACATGCAGGTTTGTAGAGTCCATAATTTATATAAAAATAATTATCAAAGTTCAATATAAGCTTGTGCATTATCACAAGGTGTTTCTCAAGTGCTATAAATCTGACACTGTGGCTCACCTTTCCAATATATTTATTATAGGAAACTTACATAAACAGTAATTTACACACCAAAGAAAAGCTCACTAGGTTATCCACCTCCTCAGTAACAGAGCACTAAAAATCCTGCCCATCAACCTGTGAAAATATTGTGCTTATGCAGACATGCTTGTTTCTAAAAATATAATGTCAAGAAATTTTCTGTTTCAAAGATGAAGTGATGATAACAGAACCCATTTTCTCCTGATACGTTTTAACTGCACAGACTTGCTAATAATAAACAATTAGTAGTTTGCTATGAATGGCAACCTACAACAAAGCAGTGCAAAGGGACATTTAAATACATCTTGCAATTGCTTACCAAAGGCACAGCTCTCGAGGGCTCCAAACTGGGCCTGGGTGCTGTTGAGTACATGTAGTTAAACAATCTGTCTATTTTTCTTAAAGGTACACCTCCACCTTGATCACTTATCTGAGGAATGAAAAGTTCAGAGATTTCAAACATGTTGTTCTGAAAAAACACCTGCAAAACTGAAGCAGCATTATCTAATCTAGAAATACTAAAGGAACTAAGAAATTTGCATTTTTCTGATTTGGAGAAAAGAAGGTTGAAGGGTGACCTCACTGCTCTCTACAGCCTCTTGAAGAGGGGAAGTGGAGAGGATGGTGCTGGAGGCACCCTGGATGCGTGGGAATGGTCCAGAACTGCTCCAGGGAAATTTACACTGGATATTAGGAAGCATTTCTCTACCAAGAGGGTAGTCAAACCCTGGAACAGGCTTCGTAGAGAGGTGGTTGATGCCCCAGGCCTGTCAGTGTTGGAGGATAAGGCCCTTAACAACACACTTTAACTTTGGTCAGCCCTGAAGTGGTCCAGCAGTTGGACTAGATGATCCTCATAGGTCCCTTCCAACTGAAAATATTCTGTTCTAATGAATACGAAGCAAGTCTCAGAAGTGATACAGTAATAAATTTGTCTTTCAAATTACAAGTTATACTATGGTAAACTTAGCAGGTTTGTAAGCTGTATGTTATTTTTAGGCATTTACCTTAATAGATAGATCTTCTTTCCCCAAAGTGACTAAGGTTTTGATCGATGGATAGCCTTCTTTCTTACCTTCATGCAATTCCACTGTAGCTCTCATTGAATTCTGAAGATATAAGAAAAAATAGCATATTTGATTCTAACTCTACCATATATATGCTTTTTGTGACAATTTAGAACTTGCATTTATTAAATCTAGATACTTCGTCCTACATTTGTATACAAGACAGAAAAGGCAGTATTTAAAACTGATCTGAGATACACTCTCAAGTCAATGAATTGTCCAGTTAAACTTTTACATCAGAACTCCATTATACATACTTTTATCTGTTTCTCAGAGTCAGGGAACATAAAACAATTTTATTTTTTTTCTGAGTAAAATCAAGTAATATATGTAAGGGATGACAACACCCTTCACCTCCACCTTGAAAAGCAGAAATAGCAGTGTTCACCACAGAGAATAAACTTTGATTTTCTTAGCCTGGGTCAGATAATTGTGAAGTTACCATCTATTTATCTGACTTCATCATATCTATTAACAGAGTTTCCACTGACAGTCCCTCACAGATTACCATTACTTACAGCTACAACTTAGTGGTTTCATGCTGTTTCATTACTTGTACCAAAATACATCTAAAACTAGTGTACACAAATTCTCACCTGTTTTGCCTTAGAACTAATGTTATAAATGGCAAAATGAGGAAACATACTTGTCAAATGTCAAAATCAAATCCAAAATATCATTATTAAAAGTTTCTCTTTGACAAAACTCATTTTTTCCCCTGAATTTCTAGTGTTCAACTGCACCACCTAGAGACCACCTATCTTACTCAAAAGCAAACAACAGCTCTCACATGCTCCATTTTCACTGTTGTTCTAATTATTCAGAAAACACAAAAACAAAACAAAGCATGTAATTTACACTATTCAAACACATATGGGCTGTTCTCACAATAAACAAAAGACACTGATCCTAACCAGTCCTCAAACATGCAATAAAGAATCAAGCTTATAAAAACTGCAAGGTAATGAATATATCATCTTTCCAAAAGTAGACTAACATGAGTGTTTTATGTTAATTATCGGCAAAAGTACAAAGAAAGAAGTAGGAAAACACAGGAAAAAAATTAAGTGCTTAAGGGCACAGGAGAAAGCTCTAAACCTAGCTTTTAACAGTTTCAAACTCTCTTCATTGTTCTAGAATGTTATTCCAATTTTCCTTTCTAAGAGCTGTAACTGAAAAAACCCCAATTTCAACAGTAATGTAAGTTCACAACCCCCTTTCAGACATTAAAAAGCACAACTTACCTTGAATAATTCAAACAACATATGAAACAAATGAGAAGGTACATAGACTACTTGAATAGGCTTGTTTGGAGCTTTAGCTAAAAAAAATAAAATAAAAGCAACACATTATTTTTTTTAGAACAGTATTTTGTAGCAATTCTATTTACAGGAATTACATGAAACTCTAAGCAAAGACAAGTATGTAAGCATTTCCTAATTTTCCGAGTGCAAGACTAGCTCCATGAAGTAAAACCATAAATTTCAGTTACTGCTATCATCTCAAATAACATATTTTAACAATGACTTTCAAAGATGTTTTTGTCACCAAGACTTTCTTTACATACGAAACTTCACTAACCAGTATTTGGTTTAGTACTGACAATGTATGGTAACTAAGACAACTCTCCCATTTAGTGGGAAACTTTGTTAACACACTCGGTATTTAAGCATAACATTCATTACACAAAAAGATTCTCAAATTAAAAAAAAACCAACAAACTGTTTAAGTATTCTACAAACAACTATGTATTTTCCCTTTATTAAAACATAACATGCAAAGTACTCAAACATTTTCAAAATTTATTTCAAAAAATGTATTTTCTTATTCCAAATCAGAACTGAATTGTCTGTCCACTGCCATCTTCTTATTAATGTCTTGGCAGAGGTGTCTGGCTTGGTGCAGCTCTGAATGCTAAGAGTGCCAACTGACCTGGCAGGAAACAATACAGCTACATCATCTACATTCCCTGACAGTTTTGGTTCTGAAGATGCAGTCATCCCCAAACATTCAAATATCTACTGGCATTAAATAGTCACAGTTGGTCACACTCAGCAGCAGTTCAGACTGAAGAGAAATCACTAAATGCCTGCTGCGTGAATTGCAGGAAGATACAAACATGACTGGAGTCAACTTCATCCCTCTTGGCACTGAGGGCTGGGAATAATACCAGTTATTACTTCAAGAAACAGTATGAAAATTAGGAAAACAAGACCAAAATAACGCTCTGTGTAGTTAGTTGCAAAGCAACTAACCATTTTATTTTGTTAATTTTGTCAGACTCCATACTCCAATTCTCTTACGTGTCACCAAAACCAAGACAAACAGATTCATACCTGTTTAAGTCATAGAGTACATATAAGAAAACGTTATTGTTGCTCTTGGGAGGTCATGGCAAAGTTTCTTTCCTCTTCTTGATAACACAGTCATTTAGAGGAAAAACAAACATCCCTTCTTTGATTCCTTTTTCATGAGATCCAGCAACCTGTTTTCTCTACTGTTGTGTCTTTTTACTTAGGCCTTTAAATTAATTTTGCACTGATTCCTCTGATGCAGCACTTGGTACTTATACCTCTAAAATCACTCTACTTTGGAGGGGGGAAAGTTGGGTCCTGTGATTATGGGAGAGGGCGCTGGTAGCAACACATCAGTGATGACAACACCACTTAGAGTAGAGAATTATTTCTACAATATTAAATAGTACTTTGAGCAACGTGTTCCCATATATTACATTCACCATTCCAAGTGTTACCTGTTTCTGAGAATTTTGCAGTTCTTCTGGAGTCTGAAAACACCTCAGTCTTACATTTGGACAGATGTCCAAAATTTGTGAGAGTATCACTCAACACAAATTTTTTTTTAACTTAAAGAAAATAAAATCTACCTTTTGTCAAGATAAATTATGAACAAAAATCAGTCAATACACTGAAAAGGACTGTCTCAACTGTTTTGTAACATCCAATTTTCATCTTTGCTGTCAACTTGAAACACATTTTCATGTGAGAAGCTTATAATAGGACTTAAAGTGTAGACTGTAAGAAAAGTTTCTAATTTGGCATATCACACAGAAGAGCTCACTACTCATGGACTCCTGATAACTTTTTTTGCTTAAAGGGACAGCAAATTCAACAGAAAGCACTCTGCTTTCAGCATCAAGAAATAAACAAACATGTCATGATTATAAACTACGATTCAGGTGCCCATGTAGACACATAAGAAGAAAAGTAACTCTGCATACAGGAGTGCAAAGTTCAAATTCTAACTTACAATTAATTAACAGGACAAGAAATAACAGATATTAGAAATGTGTCTTCTTACATACAGCAATTAAACTAAATCACAATTACCATTGAATTCTTCAACTTCCAGATCAGGTGCCACAAGGTAGTACTGTTCACATAACATCTTTGCTGTTTCATAAGCATCTACAAAACAACAGAACACCAATTTACCAAAATCATCTTGAGACAACTAGCAAAGTTCCTTCTGTATGTGAAAGATTTCAAGTCAACTACTCATTTTAGTAACTACTTTACACGAAACTGGTATCCATGCCAATCTTTTTGCCTCTGTGATTATAGCCCACTTGGTCAAGAAAGGGCAAGTGCTATTTAAAGGTGTACAAGCAAAAAGAAATTACTAGAGACAAGCTATTTTTCGTCTTTGTTCAGGGCTTGAAAACCACTGGGGTATAATCTTAGGCTGACCATAATATCTACTTATTTGTCATGTCCTGATCACAGTTTAATGTTTGTTCTTTCCTTCTCAAAATAAAAAAGGACGACGTTGCAACCATGTTTTTCCAAACATGATACTGTTTACAATAATTGATTTTCAAGGTCTTTTGCTGGGAAAGCTGGGATCTTTAACATTCTTCATTCTTTCCTACTGAACAACCACCAAAAAAAAAAGCCTCCCCACAATACAAAACAGGCTTCATGTATTGTCAAAATACAGCAAGAGTTTAAGTAATCTTTTGTTTGAGAGATTTATTAGTAGTTCTAAATATTCACTAGCACTTCATTTGCAAAAATGTTTTAGAAACAAGCAGCAAGTGCTAGATTAAAGAGAACCCCCAAATCAAAGATGTGCTAACTACATTGCTTAAGCTATCTTAACAAAAGTGGCTTATTTATATTAAGCGTGGGCTAAGAGCAAGCACATAAGCAGACAGGCACTTCAGCAAACAGAGAGAAATTTGCCAAGATATCAAAACAATTGCATTTGACCTCACCCTATATATATCTTCATCATCCTGTCCAAAGTGACACTACAGAGCAAAAACTGTGCACAGACTCAGAGCTTTGTGACAAACACAAAGAAAGTAATATTACTAGTCCCTAGAAAGGGCTGGTTACCTATAATTGTTCACCTTCAAGATGTCTACAGAAATAATCTCTAACGTGCCCTGTTATCTGAAAATAATCATATTATCAGTTGTTCTGACATCTGCAAGGCCGCACATCTCACACAAGGCTGACACAAATGCTGCTTGATGTCTAGTAAAATGGAGCTAATCAACACTGAAAATGTTCTTGACAAAGTCCTGGGAATGCCTCATAAACTCAGCTATCCAGTAGGAATCTTTTGTGTCAAGAAATTCAGCTCCAAAGACTTTCTAAAAGGGTCCTGTCATTAACACAATAAAACATGTCCTAGTAAAAAAGATAAAGTCCCATTTAATATCCAAGCCGTACAGGAAACCTCAACCTGGGATGTGCATTATTCAGGAAAAACTTATGCAAGAATACCTACACTTATATGATATTCTAAAACCATCTCAGAACTTCTGATGGCCTTGGAGTAATCCTGTGCCTTAGAAAAAAGGGCCATAAGAAGCACAGCTCCCAGTCTTGACTCAGCCATCAAAAGCTAAAGATAGCAATGTAGCCAGTATGACCATAAGATCATCTATATGGAGAAAGTTAATATATTAGCATACTTCAAGGACTTACATTTTTACCTCCATCTAAAAGCCAACTCTTTGGCATGGTCCTAAGACTGTAAAAAAGACTGGAAAGTTCAAAGTGCTCGAGGTAAACTCAACGAGAGGAAAGGATCTGTCAGTACATCTAAAATGCCAGCTCCAAGAACAAGCCTGGATATTCCATCAGCTCAAATGCTTATTGTAGGATCATCACTGAGATGGAGAGACCTACCTCAGGCAGATACAGACACAACACTAGGTGGAGCTGCTTGAATTAGGTAATCAGAGAATGGTTTAGGTTGGAAAGGACCTTAAAAGATCACCTAGTTCCAACCCCCCTGCACAGGCAGGGACACCTCCCTCTAGACCAGGTTGCTTAAAGCTCCATCCAGTCTTCCCTTGAAGACTTCCAGGGAGGGGGCATCCAAAAATACCCTGGGCAACCCGTGCCACTGTCTCACCACCCTCATACGAAATAATTTCCTCCTAATGCCTAACCTTAATCTTCCCTCTTCCCTTTTAAAGCCATTACCCCTTCTCCTATCACTACATGATCTTGTAAAAAGCCCCTAGCCAGATTTCTTCCAGGCTCCCTCAGGTATTGGAAGGCTGCTATAAGGTCTCCCTGGAGCCTTCTCTTCTCCAGGCTGAACAACCCTAACTCTCTCCATCTGTCTCCACAGGAGAGGTACTCCAGCCCTCTGATCATTTTCATGACCCTGCTCTGGGCCACTTCTTTTGATACAGCCCATAACACAGTTGGCTTTGTGGGCTGCAAGGGCACATTGCCAGGTGTTGGGTTTTTTTCCCCTTTTTTAAAAGGGGGCCATATTTCCCCTTTTCCAATCAGTGGGAACTTCACCAGACTGCCACAGCTTTTCAAATACGATAGAAAGTGGCTTTGTAACCTCATCTGCCAGTTCCTTCAGGAGCTGCAGATGGATCTTGTCACATGTCACAGACTTTTACATCTTCAGGTTCTTTAGACAGTCTCGAACCTTACAGTGGGTGGATCTTCTTTCTCCCAGACCCATTACTCATTGGAGTAATGACTGTTTAAATAATTTTTCCAATGTTTGAAGGGCATACAGAGCTTGTAGCTGCTACATAGAGTGCCAAAATCAACATCTTAGCTCTTGACCAATTGCTCAGAATGCTGCCTGTGTACCAGAACATTTCAGAGCTAGCAGAGTACACAGCATGTATATTAACTCCTCTACTGATTCTACAAGGAAATAGCCTCATTCACTTTGACTTTAGACAGGCTTTGTCTTGAAGGACATGTCACTTCTTTGAAAGACAATGCTGGATACTGTTAATGATGCCCCCACTTTATCAGTGATCATTTCTTCAAATGTGGAAGACCTATTTTAAGTACTGGCTTGAAAACTGGACGGAACACCTTCTCACACTGCTGAAGGCAGCAACTATGAATTTGGTGATCAAAGCATCAAAACAGGTTCAAACACCGCTATAAGAAGGAGTATCTAAATAAACAACACGACTAACATATACAACGCTGAGGTCAAAGGAGAAGAAAGCTAGTGAAAAAAGGTCACCTTAGAGCCAAAAAGAGATAGAAACCAAGAAAAGCCTTCATAAAAGTAAAAAGTATCTACATTAAAAGCAAGCTATCATGCAGGCCGAAGTCTAATATGAGAAAGGTTTCCCTCTTACTTCACTAAAGGCTGAGAGAAAATTAAGGGGAGAAACACATTCTTCCCCTCCTGCAGCTGCACAAACAGCAGTGAAGGATAGAGGGTGGAATTCACTCCTACAGCTAGACCTGTATCTGTAAATAGATACACCCAGAGTGTGAATCTTCAGTAAACAAGTTCTTGAAGCAGACAGCATTTCCTCATGCCAACTTACTAACATTCTGATAGTATATGAACATTTACATTAAGCAAACATGATTTATTAAGTAAGCAGGATTTCTAATGTGAATGTCAGATCATTCAGGTAAAACCAACACATACATGTCTTCTGTTTAAGAGAATAGGCTGTGATATGATCAGACACACAGTAATGGGGAGTTTCACTGGAATATCTGTACACCTGAGGACATTTTACTAAAGGCAGTACCAGATAACTAACACTATGCAAGAACCTGCTTCTACCTATTTTTGGAAGACAACATCTAAATTTTATCAAAACACTTAGATACTTAATCTAGTCAGATTAAAGTTATTAAAAATGTATTTGTTTTCTTAGTTCTGTTAACATACCAAAGGCTTCCCCATTCTCATGGAGACATCAGAAGTCTCACTAAGCCTATGGCTTTACTGTGAGCAACTGCAGAACTTCTATTTTTATTTTTTTTTATTTTGTTAAATGAATTTAAATACTCTTTAGTCTTTTGTATCTCAATAACATTTATGCAAATTCTAAGTGTTTTTACATCAACAAAATATTAACTTAATCTTACCTTTAACCACCTCTGCCACATTGCAATTAGGATCAATACTTCCAATATGTTTGGGATGAGCAGGATTAATAGATCCTCCAAAAAGAAGTGCTAAAATTAAAAAGAAATTACAGTAAATTGCCTATTGTTCTTGAGGCAGCCCAGAAAGTTTAAATCTGATGGCAGCCAGAATGTACTGGATAGCACATCCTTTTGCAAAAAGATACTCTTTTTTTTTTGTTAATAGTTTACTAGTTAATACAGAAATAATTATGCTGCAGAGTTAAGGTGAAAACTTACATTTCCAAATGGACTATCAAAAATTAGATAAAGCCAAAATGTAAAATGCTTCATACATACTATTATGTCAGAACATCAGCACTCATGACAACAAAAATGTTACAACAAAAAGGACTGAGGAACTTTAAGACAGCATTAAAAGCCTTTTATAGTCATCTAACTTGGAATTTCACAGCTGGAACAGAGGTCTGACTCACTAAACTTTCTCCCCAGCTCTCAGCAGTATGCTCCTCAGTCTCTCCTTTGCACAAGGGTCTGGCACTCACCAGACCCTTCATAGAGAGTTTATCTCTCATAAGTGGTAGAAAGGCTTTACACTTCTTTGCAGAAGTGATTTTCTGCTATTTTAGCAAGTTAGTCAGCTTTGATATGAAACAGATGCAGTATGAGGTGAGCAAAAGACAAGATCTGACAGCTTTTTGTATTCCAGTCATGGTGAGCTAACACTCGCTGTAAGAAACAGTCAGTCAATAACATATGAAACAAATGCAAACTACATAAAAACTGCTTTCAAATTATCTTTTTCATCAATGCTTCAAGATCAATATTTGCCATCACACATGGATCACTAACATTGCAAAGTATCGAGGAACTGTACAAGTTTAATTAAACTTCAAGCATCTAAGTGGCTTTCAGTTTCAACAAGTGTCCAAAGAATTAGCCACTGCAGTTCAATGAAAACGGTTTAGTATTTTGGAACTAGCACAAATTTTGCTAATACTCAGCCCAATAATTCTATTAGGACAATATTTTAACTTATTGCTAGAACTCTTCTATGAGAGCCTTTTAACTTAGTTTTATGTCTGTCATTTGTCTGCCCACGTACAAGTAAAGAGTAAGCTGCACATTTATCTCATTTTGTGCATTGCCATGTGGAATTGAGTTGTACACACACAGCAAGGTATTTGCTAACCACAGAGACATTTACTGGAAAGACACACAAATTGTAGTAAAATACCTTATACTACAGTACTCTAGCATCTGTATTACCAGTTTCTAAGAGCTCATGAAAGCAGAATACTGGGCAGAGAATGAAGCTCTAGGGCTAAAAGGTACAAGATACACTAAAAGAGATCACAAGATTTTCTTTAACTTCACACAGATTGCTTTCTGCATGGTTGCACGCAGAGGTTAATAGGAGCTGTGCAGGTAACTCCTTTCATTCTGTAATACAAATATTAAAAAGTAGGCTTATTAGTAACAACAAATGAAACAGAACCTAATGACAAAGGATTACTAATTCTAGCATTTATTCATAAAGAGTGAATAGGAAGTAGAAGGACAAGGGATATAATTTACAACTTAATTGGAAAATATTCAACCTCTTCAAAAGGCAAGAAAGTCTAGATAACCTTTTGAAAAAAAAGAACAAAAAATATATATAATGCATAACCTATTAAGAAGTTACGGGATGTTTGCATTTCATTACGAAATAAATGTCAGCTCTAGAAGCTATATTGAGAGATTTGTGAGCAGAAAGATACAGCTACTTTACTACTATCTAAAAATAATGTATCACTATGCAAGCTGTCTCTGCCAACAAGATTAAAAAGTGACAGTCACGCTGACAAAGCCTGACAGTTCCAGAAGAAAGCACACAGTTTTGGATTAATTTCTGATAACTGTGAAGGACCAAATTAACCAGTTACCAGTATATCTTTTACCATAATTAGGACAGAATATTAAGAATTAGTCATGAGCATGAAAAATAAAATAAAAAGTCAAAACAAAACAAAGCCATGGCTTCAGATTTACAAGCAATAACTAATGAGTTATCAAAGATGAAAAAAAGCAATTACTTACTGTGTTGGTTAATAAGCATACGGAAAGAGATGCGGTTGGTGTAGAATCTATCAAGAAAATACTGGATGTTACTGCTAACAAATGGATCAAAGCCATATTTTTCCTTGTATTCAATCACCCCTTGTGCCATGGTTGGAACCACATCATTATGTCTGTTCCTGACTTTAATTAAAACGTCTAAAAAGCTAGAGAAAACAAAATTAGAAACAGATTGTTAGAAATATCATTGAAGTTAATCTCTCACTTCTGTGTCCAACCCCCCCTGGCATAACCATTTTATTCGCTATCCCTCCTAGTCAACAAAAAATTATCAGGAGAAGATAAAAATACAGCAGCATCTAAACAAACCAATGTAAAGAAAAATATTTAGTTAACCTCTCACTCACAAGATCCCTGAAATGGGGCCTCGAATTAAGCTGTATTTCCCCAAAACTCTCCTTTAATTTAAACTCTCTCCTCTTCTTTAATGAAGAACAAAGATTTTCTTGTACTGCAATCATATGCTCCACAGTAACTTTGATTCCCTGCAACCAAGAGTGGCTGGGAGATTGGAAAGTCAGGAAAAACAACCTGACTGACCTTCACAATTTCCTGAGAAGTTTTCCACGTCATACTTTCTTCCCAACACCTCAAGCCGTGCACTGTAACTTCTGAATTTCCTTTACTTGGTATCGATTTAAGTATGAGTATCAGGATCGCTAATTACTAGCAGCGTGACTTCAGTTTCGTTTTACACCGCTGGATGGCAGAGCACATAAACACTGCTCTGACAGGCTCTGAGGTAGCTCGGGAAATTTTAGGGTACCACTACCATTGCTTTTAAAAAGCACCTGTTAACAAGCACTTACGTTGAAACAGCTTGGAGGATGTTGGGTTTTTTCCTCCTGCTAAAGCAGCTAGACAACCATGATCTTCAGCATGCTCATCCTTTTTTTCCCCCACACATGCAAACTCATACAGACTTGAAATATTAATTATTAATAGCTTTCTAAAGCCTAGCAATGGAAAAACAGTACTACTTCACTCTGATACATACTTTAATATTAAATTAATACTAACATCACAGTGATTACATGAACTTGTTTTAAAAAAGCACACACAATGAAATGCAGCTTTTAAAAGAAAGCCCAGCTGGGAAACTCATTAAGCTATGCCTGTATTTGCAGTTCTACAAATCCTGTTTAAAAAAAATCAACAGAAAAACATAAACTTAATAGATTTATAATTAACACTGAAAAGAAAGTTATTATTTGTATCAAAAGTAAAATATACAATAGCTAAGGAAGGAATCATATAACAGTTTGGGTTTGAAAGGACCTTTAAAGGTCATCTAGTCCAATCCCCCTGCAATGAGCGAGGGAAAGAACAGTAAGACGACTAAAAGTAAAAAAGACTACCAATTAGTCCCCATATTTAAAGCAGACATTTCCTTCCTTTTCACAACCACTTAGCCAAGACAATCATTTGATAGTACACTGCACCACTATTAACAAGTGCTATACTTTTAAAATTATTTCTTCCGCTCTACGCTGCCAGCTCCAAAGGAATGTAGGATTCATTTTTAACAGTGTTATCATCATCATCAGTCTAACCACTGGTTTTTGCTTCTGCGTTAACGAACAGCTGAATAGTCTTTCAACCCTATTTTGTTGCATAGAAAAGGGGAAGTTTTAACTGCATAAATCCATTCTAAATACTATCACAGCACAGAATGACTGCTTACTGATCTTGCTCACTGGACAGCTTAAAATATTTTAACGCTTAAAAGGCTTGCAGACTCTATGTTTATTAAGTCTGAATTCCATGTGATCTGTAACCACTGAGATCTGACAGTTTTTGAGACAAGACTAGTGCCTGCTGTTCTCACGCTGCTTCTGTTTCAGAGCAACAAGACAGTAGCTAAAAACAGAGCTACCAACACTTTTATCTGAAACACAACTCATAACACTCTCTACTAACTGCTATTTGCTGACAGCTTTGCTATTTGTTTTAAATACCTCTGCTCTGCACAACATATACATGATGCCTGCCTGCTCCACTAGACAAACTGTTCACTGACATCCCACTACCTAAGTGCTTAAATGCACAGAGCATGCCCAAGGGCAACCAAAGGGCTGGGAGTTTCATCTGCTACACACCAGCAAATCACTGCTGAAGCTTAGTGTATGAACACACTCTATAAAGGAATTCTTCATTACTGCAGCGATGAGACAAACCTTCCATTCCATCAAAACTGAGTAACTGAGTTAATTTCAAGTGCATCCATCAGGCAGATGCTTTTAAAGGACAAACAGTAAAGCATATAGGCAAGTTTCAAAGCAGCAGGGCAGAAATCAAAACACATTTCCTTAATCTTTCCACTCATTCCTTACCCACACACAACCATAAGGACACAATACTTTCATTGTACTCAAACTGTGGGAGACCATATCAAGGGATTTTTTTAATGCTCTTTTTTTTGGGGGGGGGGGGGTGTTATACTCCAGAATAGCTCTGAAAATATTTTTTTTAGCAATGACTGCTTTTTTCAAAATTAAGTGTATTGTATTTTCAAAACCACAATGACTAAGTAAGGCAGTTTGTTTGACAGATGAAAAATTATTGTTTACTAAGTTACACGTGTTATTCTAGACATACTGTCAGTTTACTACTTCAGTTGCTGTCAGTTCCAGGACACTCCCACACACATCTTGCATGAGAGTGCCACAAAGAGAAAAATCGACAAAGAAACTCACAGGTACAGGGGGTGGGAGTAAGTGTTCTCTGAAAGTACATGTAAACAGCACATTTTACAAACCCTTCAATTTTTAAAAATCAAATTCTGCCTCTGTGTGTTTATCCAGATGCATGTTGGCACCATGGGAAATTCCCAACACTTCTGCCAGCTTACACCATCAACCAAGCGTGGAGACCTTATCTTAATACTGCTGCAATCACACCCTGAGAAAACTGTGGAAAGACTTCCACCTGACTGCTCTGCAGCTTGTGGAAAGGTATTTTTATCAGTAAAAACGCCAAAGTAACCTGACTTTTGGTGTACACCCGTACTATTGACAGCAGGAGAATCTGGTGATGTAGTAAGTCTTTGTAACATCTACTAAACAACCAAATGTAATAAAGCAACCAAAGTCTCTCTAAGCCATTTCATCACAGAAATGCTGAGACCAAAAAAACAAACAAACCATCCTTTAAAGGATTTCAATTTCAAGAATCAACTGGTCTGTAAGTCTCAATGTTTTTCTGAATGTTTGAGGTGGACACCACATTCAGCTCCAAAGAGAAGCTCCTGGGGTGGTACTGGGGTAGAAGTTCTTCCATCCAGGAAAGTCTCACATTTTGTCATACTAATTAAGCTAAAGGAAGAAGAGATGGGGGCCATCATGAAATGTGTAAGTCATCTGATACCACACAGGGCACTAACAAGGAAGGACATTACAAGCTGAAGAATCACAGAACCACAGAATGTTTGGAGTTGGAAGCGACCTTAAAGATCACCAAGTCCCAGCTCCCCTGCATGGGTAGGCACACCTTCCACTAGGACAGGCTGCTCAGAGCCCCATCCAACCTGCCCTTGAACACCTCCAGGGATGGAGCCCCCACAACATCTCTGGGCAGCCTGTTCCAGTGTCTCACCATCCTTACACTGAAGAATTTATGCCTGATCTTTAACCTAAATCTTTCTTCTTTCAGCTTAAAACCATTATCCCTTGTCCTCTCACTGCAAGCCCCTGTAAAAAGACCCTCCCCAACTTTCCTGTAGGCCCCCTTCAGGTACTGGAAGGCCATTATGAGGTTCCCCCAGAGCCTCCTCTTCCTCAGACTGAACAACCCCAACTCCCTCAGCCTGTCCTCATAAGAGAGGTGCTCCAGCCTCAGATCATTTTCATGGCCCTTCTCTGGACATGTTCCAGCAGGTCCACATCTTTCTTGTGCTGGGATCACCCGAGCTGGACACAATATTCTAGGTGAGGTCTCACCAGGGCAGAGCAGAGTGGCAGAATCACCTCTCTTGATCTGCTGGCCACACTTATTTTGATACAGGATTTGCCCCTGGTAAAACTGTGCTGGCTGTCCGGGATCACCTACTTGTCCTCCACGTGCCTCCTTCTAGAAGGATGTGTTTCATGATCTTCCCATGCACAGAGGTTAGGCCGATAGGTTGGTAACTCCCAGCATCCTCCTTTCTACCCTTTTAAATATGGGAGTAACATGTCCTTTCTTCCAATCACCAGGGACTTCACCTGACTGCCATGACTTTTCAAATATCATGGACAGTGGTTTGGCAACTACATCCACCAATTCCTTCAGAATGCTCCAACCCTTCTTCCTATGCTACTATAAGCAAGGTACTCAGACAAACACTGCAGATACGGCTAGAACAAGAAAGGCTCCATTTCAGAGGACCGAGAATACCTTACAGAGTGAACTTCCACATGACCTTCCCTAAACAAAACCATCTGAATGAAGTACTATTGCTATTCAGACATCCCTAAAGACACTACCCATCAAGTCCTAGATAGTGGTTAAAATTCTGTATTAAATTATACATGTAATTACAAAAGGAATGTGTTATGTAAACACAAATAAACTTAGATACATGCTTTCTTCCACTGAAAAGTAACTAACTACTAGAGTTTCCAATACTTCTTCTCTGACCATGAGACATAGAAGTAGGGTAGGGCTAGACAGCAGCAACATAGAATACTGGCACGGAGTTGAGAAATTTGCTAGATTTATCTATGGGTTTGTACAAGATAAATATGGATGTAATTAAGAGTATTTTTTAAAGATGCAGTTTGCCAAAAATATTAAAATAATTGCTAATTACGTCTCAATATCCAGTTAAATGGCGTAACTTCATAAAGTTTGGAATAAATTACTTGCATAGATTATCTCATAATCTTAGGCAGCCTACCCAATACTGTCAAGAAGAATATATTTGATCGGTAAACAGATAATGCATCTTTCATCTCTTCCCAGAGGCCAAATTCAGTATAAAAGATTACTCTTACTGTCTAAGTCCCTGGCTGGACTTCACCTCAGTAGTTAGCAAAAAAATTCCCAACACCCTTATTATATGTACTTAATTACATATAGTACAATCATTGCAAGATTTCAAAGATTTTAACAAACCATTATGCTGAATGAATAAAGATTTGGTTAATCATAAAATATTTGGTAAATCATACTAATACACAGCATCTCAAACAATATTTCCAACTGCCATGAAACAATGTCAAGAATGCCTGTTATCCATATGGCAGAATCAGATTATTAATTTGGTAATTACGAACAGACTCTAAAAACAGATCTCCAAGACAACTATTGATCAACCTTAAAAAAATATATAGTGATCTACCTTGGACTCCATAAAAAGCTGAAATGCAGTTACCTCAATACAGAACATCTAAGGTGGTGCCAGGAGCTACACACCACTTTGCCTCCACCTGCACATCCAGGACATTATAGGCTTAATAGAACCTTAATTTGCCAGGCTCACTTACATGTCTAGGACAGCTTATGATCTCTCAAAAGGCAACAAACATCTAAGTTTTGGTAACTCAATTCCAGTCAAATGTTCTAAGTCAAGTACTAGGAACACTTACTGCTTAACTAGTCACAAACAGCAATCCTTGTCCTATCAGCAAAGAGGCTGTAAATACAGAATCACAAAATGTAACAGCTAGGGGTAGTTGAAAAGTTCATGTGGTTTATCCACTACAGAATAAGCAAGCTTAGAACACCACTGAAAGCTGAAATCTACTCTTAAAAGCTTTTAAAATGGGATACTCTAACAGCCTTCTGAAATGGTCTTTTTCTCACAAATACTAGAATTTATACTTTTTGCCCTCTATACAATCTCAACTTTAACAAAAATCAGCTACTTTTTAATTCTCCACTTAGAGCAACCAATCATCCTTTATTACAATGACTCTTCTTGTTTGGCATGCCCAGACTTTCAGTGTCTCACACTTCAATCTCTTTTGCCAGTCCAAACAAATGCCTTCAACATTACTCAGAGGTAAGTCTCTAATTTTTTTCACTTTCACAACAATACTGTCCATGTAGTTTTTTATTCCATAATAGGTAGTATCCAGAACTGAAGACCATATTCCAGCTTAGGCCTTACACTGAGAAAGCAGTTTCTTTCCCTTTGCTCATTAGCACTACAATTCACTTGCTCAGTGTGTAATCCGTACAGCTTCTTCTGCAGTTGACATGTAAGGAATTTGGTACTTGTGCACTTCAGTGCCTCCTGCATGTATTGCTTGATACTTAAACAATAAATTCTAAAGATCTCAAATAACAAGCCCACAATGAAAAGAGCATAACATCTAAAATACATTATCTAATAAAATGCTTAGTTAACCTATCATAACACAGCAATTAATGTATCCAAAACTAAAGACAAAGCACTGTTTTTACACAGCGCATGCCACTTCTTGCAGAAACAGCATTTATTGGACTACAAGAGGTTTTATGAAACATATCCTGTAAAGCACTGCTCAAACAGGCAACGTTTCCAGAGCTTAAAAAGAAATTCTAGTTTATAAGACAAGCTACTCTAAAGGAAACTAATCAACAGAATAAAAAACCTGCAAGAAGGAATCTCCAAAACCAAAGCTGACTGCTATTCGAATTTCAAGGAAACACTCTAATGAAAATTTTAGTATGGTTTTGTTAATAAGTAAATTCCTTTCTTCTCAAAATATAAGTAATATTGTTTAACAAGCTAGGAGAACACCAATAATTTAAGTGCATTAACAAATCTTTTAGACAAAAAATGAAGAATGTCACATTGAATTAATTAATATACATTATATGCAACAGAGTACTAAGCTGAACATATACTAAACCAACATTTTAGTCATAAGATACACAAGTATATGATGACATGCACATTGTTTTTTCAATATAGCCTCAGAGAGAGTACTTAATGTCATTTCTTAAACTATCAGATTATATAAATGCAAAATAAACTGTTCAAAAGTACTTAAATTCCTGCATTCTGCTCCTGATTACAATTTCAGCCTTTGCTGCACAAATTCTACCTTATAAATAAGACCACTGCTATCGTATAGCACAAAAACACTTGCTTGAGACTGATTATATTTAAATGAACTTTCACAAGAAAATAAATTACTCACTCATCCAGAACATGAGGATCCTCAGGACTTTTATTTTCATATTCTAAAAGCTCAAGGAAACTCTGCATATACCTGAAATAAGCAAAAATTATAAAGAATTAGTTCAAATACTTAAATATAAATTACTTTTGAATTTTTTAAAATCTAAAGACTACAAACTCATCTGAAACAACAGAAGCATAGCACACAGATCTCTGCAAAGACTAAAATTACGTGTAACAAAGGGAAAGAAAGAAACTCCAATATACTATATTGAGTTCAAAATTATTATTTATGATCCTACAATCCACGTTCAGGAAAACTGCTGTGTGAATCACAGAATTATACAATAGTTTGGGTTAGAAGGGACCTTTAAAGGTCATCTAATCCAACACCCTTGCAATAAGCAGGGATATCTTCAACAAGATCAGATTGCCCAGAGCCCTGTCCAACCTGAGCTTGAATGTTTCCAGAGATGGGGCATGTACCACATCCCTGGACAAGCTGTTCCAGTGTTTCACCACCCTCATGGTAAAAAAAAAAATTCTCTTTTATCTAGTCTGAATCTACTCTCTTTAAAATGATTACACCTTGTCCTATCACAACATACCCTACTAAACAGTCTGTCCCCATCTTTCTCCTAGGTTCCCTTTAAGAACTGAAAGGCCACAATATGGACTCCTCAGAGTTTTCTCCAGGTTAACAATCCCCAACTCTCTCAGTCTGTCCTCAAAGGAGAGATGTTCCAGCCCTCTGACCATCTTTGTGGCCCTCCTCTGAACATGGTCCACAAACTCCATGTCTTTCCTGTGCTGAGGACCCCAGAGCTGTACACAGTACTCCAGGGAGGGGGTCTCACCAGAGTGGAATAGAGGGACAAAATCCCCTGGTGCATCAAATCAACATTCCTTTTCTTCAGGTAGGTCTGTAATTTCACGTAACTTAACTCATCCCTAGATCTTGTTTTCCTGGTCATCCCCTCTGTACAGATGTTAGTTTACTCCCACATTCCTCTGAGAGAAATCCAACCATGCTAACAAGACTGCACCAAACTGGTCCTACCAGCTACCACAGTACTCCAGAGGAGTACACCTTTCACACTCTCAGTAACTGCTGGGCAGTGCTCACACACAGTCAAGGTCTTTTCTGCTTCTCACACAACCCCACCAGCAAGTAGTCTGGGGGTACACAAGAAATTGAGAGAAAACACAGTCAGGACAGCTGACCCCAACTGACTGAAGGGATATTTCATACCATACGACATCATGCTCAACATATAAAGCTGGGGAAATAAGAGGGTGGTGCTCAAGAGTGATGGTATTTGTCTTCCCAAGTCATCATTATGTGTAACAAAGTCCTGTTTTCCTGGAGACGGCTGGACAGCCGCCTGCCGGTGGGAAGTAGTGAATGAATTTCTTGTTTTGCCTGTGTGCATGGCTTTTGCTTTACATATTAATCAGTCTTCATCTCAACCCACAAGTTTTCTTTCACCCTTCTGAGTATCTCCCCCATCCCACTAGGGGGCAGTGAGCGAGCAGCTGTGTTGGTTAGTTGCTGGCTAGGCTTAAACCACAATACCAGTACACTGTATTTTAAATAAACCATGTTATTTTAACACTGTGTCACCGTTTGACTCGGGTTTGACAACAATGCTGTCGATCCCCTCCCATCCAGGGAGGGAAGGAGAGAGAGATAAAGGGAGAGATTTAGCTGAATTGAAAACTAAACTACACAGCTTTAATTAAACACTAGTGATAAAAGAAAATATAGATACAATTATATACAAACATGTTCAGGTATGTGCAAAAGCCTCTCGCCTCCCCCCACACCCAGCAACTCCCACAGCACTCTCCTTAGCTGCAAACAGTCCTGAAAAATTCCAGAGCTGCCAGATAAAGCACAGAGTGATGCGGGTCTCTCGAGGGAGAGCTCGAGCCTGGGGGTTGACAGTGATGGATGGCAGTCCTCCCCGGACATCAGCCATGGACAGAAGAGAAGGGAAGAAGAAGCAGGAAGGAAGTTGTCTCCTGTGATCTCTGACCTTCCTCTGAGCTTACATAGATATACGGAACGGAATATCTCTGGCCAATTTTGCTGTCCATCTAATTCAGCCTCCAAAGCAGGGGTCATAGATCTCCCTGTGCTGTCTGAGCTGGCAAGAGTTAAGATGTGACCTTCAAGACCCAGCAGTTAGAAAAACATTCCACTGCTACCAGTCTCAGTTGAGAATGTGTCCTTATATGCACCCCCATTTTATTCACACTGGAAAAAGTTGCTTTACTCTCTGAATTTATGCAAGACAAATATCGTGATATTTGTCACAAATATTGTGATATATATCACAAATATTGATATATATATATTATATATATATTATATATATATCACAAATATTGTGATATTTGATAACAAATCACGATCACCCTTAATCCTTCATTTCAAAGAGGTATGGGTTCTTCAACATCATCTGCTTCATATGATTCAAGGTTAGTCAACTTAATAATGGGTTCAGGATGGGAAAAAAGTACCATTATTACACTGAGCAAAACACAGTAATAAACAATCAGCAAAGAAACTCCAAAATGAAAGATCAGAAAGTGGCAGACAAGGCACTGAGGCAACTCAGGGCATCATCAGTTTGGCTCTATGAAGACAGCAAGATGAGCTTTTGCTGTCTTGCCAAACCAGGCAATGTCATGTAGAAGCAATAATTAAGATTCATCCCTATGTCCAGCTTTGGTCTGCCTCCAGTAAATACCTGACTCTCCACCATCAGTCTTTGCTACCTCCTTCAGTATTTCTTTGACAGGTAATGAGAACATATCTAAGTTATTTAATCCATAATTGTTTCAAAGAGGAAACTAGCCTTCTGGACACTTTCTGTGAGTAGAGAAAAGGATACCATTCCTGGAGCATCCTTTTCTTGCAAATATATTTAGGAATTTAAAAACCCACATAACCTAAGACCACCAGCATTGTCAGATTCGACCAGTTCCCTCATGCAGTGGGTTGCAATTTAACAATAATAACCATTATATATTATATATTGTAACAATTTATAATTAAATAAATACTTGCTGTCTTCAATTTGTGTGGTAAAAGGAAATCAGGCAAAATATTTATTTGATTCTACACAGAAAAAGCAATCTATGCAAAAAGTACCTGCATGATTTCTGTGAAGGAATCCTATTCTATTCCTCAAATACAAGTTGATCTCTTGTCACTGAATTAATACGTCTACATCAGCATTTTTATTTTCAAATCTAAACTTGTAGTACAGTTTTCCAAAGAATGCCAAATAATCTTCATTTAATCCATGCTGATTATATTTGCAAAGTGGTTTGAAGACTTAAGATCAGGTTCTTCTCAGAAAAAAATAAACTGGAAGCTGCTATAGATGTGCATCAAATGTGAAACTGAAGGCAGCCATTATGACCTGAACCAGTAAGCAGGTCAAAACACTATGATGTCTCCAGCACAGGCACAGTGCGTGCCAGGAGGCAGACTGTGAACTGTCATAAGTACCCTACACACAATCACATTTCCCGTATTACATAAAAGACCAAACGCTGCAAGTGTCAGCAAATTTGCCAGCAATCACTGCTCTACTCTTTATGCTCCTGCATCCCATCCTTTCAAATCTTCCTCCTGGTCTGAAATCCTTTCCTACTTTCTGTTGCCACCCTCCCTGTTTTGTGGAGGTCTTTATTTTTTTTTCCTCGCCCTCTCTTTGTTTTTCTCCACACCTCAGGTCCATTCTTCTATGTCCATTTTCATAAAGGCAACAATAGCTTTTTCTGCCTACCAAAACACCCAGGAAGCCTTTCAAGGAAAAGCTGCAAGCCAGCTTTTCAAGGAAATTCAGAATCACAGAATCATTCAGGTTGGAGAGATCTCTTGAAATTATCTAGTTCAACCTCCCTGATCAAGCAAGTTCAGCTAGAGCAGGCTGTCCAGGACGGTGTCCTGTTGAGTTTCGAGTATCTCCAGAGATGGAGACTCCACAGCCTCTCTGGGCAACCTTCTTGTGGTGTTTGATTACTCTCACTGTAAAAAAGTTTTTTCTTATGTTCAGATGGAATTTAATGTGATTTAATTTGTATTCATTGCTTCTTGCCTGTCAGTGAGCATTACTGAAGAAAGTCTGACTCCCTCATCTTCATTCTCTCCCATTAGGTACTGGTATCTGCCCGCTTGCTCAGTCAAGCCTTCTTTTCTCAGATTGAAGAGTCTAGACAGCTTCCCATCTGAAAGATGCTTCAACAAATCTGTGTTGTGAAAAAAATGAGAGCTTCTCTCAACACGAAGTAAATCAGAAAAGTTAACAGGAAGCTGCTCACCCCCATCTGTCATCATATATTATGAAACTCCTGTTTCTGAAGATCCAGGACAACCATCACACTTGAGAAGCAACACAGCAGACGCTTTTTACTACAAACCTCCTACAAGAAATCTCAGATACCAGCAATCCTGTGCTGATGTTCAGAATAAAACAGAAATTAGTATTTCTGGTACTGGAGGTAGCTGATACTTGGTTTGTGTGCTGTGTGGATAAGTTGCCTACCATTACTGGTACGCTGTATTGAGATTTATACTCAGTTTATTGAAATGCTGTTCCTAAGACTGCAGCACCTGGAATAAACAAACATCATGACTCCTGTATTGAAAGATCAGCACTTTTACTAGAGCATCAGGCAGGGACAAGCCAAGCGTTTCTCTCATCTACTGCAGAAAGTTATTGTCTGAGTCAGAAAAAGACTAAAGCAGGTCTCAAACAGAAAATGCTGCCAAACATCATCACCAGTCTTCACTGCAACCAGGAAGCAGAACAACTTTTGAGGTCATTATGCTGCAGACTCAACACAGCACCAATGAGGAACTGAGAGTTTCTGAAACAAAGGAAAACTACACAAAATAAATTCTTTAAACTAAAGAAAGTCATAAATGTGTTAAGAAATTTCTCTTTAATCTCTGTGGTGATGAAGAAACTCTGGAAACAGGCAATCCTTTTCCTTCAGAGTTATCAACAATATTTATATGCCTATTTCTGATTTTAAATTAAATAAGATTACTTTAGAAGTTCAGTTCATTAG